ATATATATATATATATAGAGCACCTCTTAATTTTACAGTCGGCATTTCGTGACATCGAGGCCGATCCTCTCTACTGTTGAATTATTCGACTATCGAGAAACGTTATAGAGGCGAACGACAAGGAACCGCAGATGAAAATAGCCATATAAAACATCGCTATATATAAACGGCTGCAAGAAATATTTTTACTACTGCTTCTGCCTCAGTCAACTTGAGATCCAACTCAAGTGGCTTCTTGAAAATGCTCCTTCAAAATCCCTCAAAAAGTCTCTCGCGATTCTTTCATGATGATTCAATGATATAAGAAACCTCGTATATAATAAGCCAATCATTGAAATAAGACAGAACACGCATAAATAATTCTATGAATAGGAAGCGCATTTGTCAACAGAAACTCATAGAAAAATATAAAATACATTTAAGTCGCATTTAAATCTCAATCATAATGTTATGTATATTTTTGCACGATATTATTTAACATTTGAAATACATATAACATAATATGTAGGTAGATTATTTATTAAAATTCGCTTTTTATAATATATTTTATATATTAATATAATGATCGAACATTCTTTTTAAAATTTTACGAATATTGTAACGCTAGTTTGATGACAAGAGAAATACGTTATAAAAGAGATTTATAAAGATTTAGGAAGACCTACGTTATCACTTGTATTCGTATCACAATTGATAAAATACTTGAAAAATAAATATTAACTGATGTAAAATCCCATCATAAAATAGGGGGTCAAATAGACGATCCAGATTGACTCACCTTTTGGACGATGAGCGGTGTGCCAAAATCCTTGCCGCCTTGCAAACGGAAACCCCAGGGGGATCCATCGAACCTGGACAGCTTGACGCTGATCAGTTGTGCCATATCACTGTCTTGCCTGAACTTGTCGCCCGTATGTCGAGATAAACGATCGTATGAACGGTGAACGGTCTTGAAAACTGTCGACGGCTATTGGTGAACGAGCCCTTAGCTCGGCTCAGCTATCTTGGAGGTATCGCGATGCACCACTGACAATTGGGTCGACAATGTCCGTTTGTTAGCCGTTTGTGTATACGTACTTTATAAAAGGGGGGTATATGTATCGCGCTCTCTCGAGTGGAACGTGAAACGGGCACGTACGTTCCCTGAAGAACGCGCAGACCGGAGTAAAGGTATAAGAGGCGCCGAGGACGGTCAGTCGGGCAGCGGGGCCTCCTCCGTCCTCGCCACGCGATTCGGAACGAAGAGGAGGAGTACGAGAGCGCGGAAGGAAAGGGAAGGAACAGCAGGAGGGAGACAGCAGGAAGAAGGAGGGAAATGCGTGGATAGTGGACAGCTGGCGGGGATAGGGAGAGGAAGAGAGAGCAATTTATTATTATATGTATGTTCTGGCAGAAATCTCTTCGGAGACATATTTTAGCGACATATCGTGAAAATGAATGACGAAATTTCATTAAAAGAGTATTAAGTTCCGACCAATTTCAAAATCGGCACTTGGACAGGGCACTTCCCGACAGAACAGGTTCAACTTTGAACTCGAGTCTGAAATCGTTCGGAAAGAAGATATCCGGATTCAGCTACGATAACGAAATAAAAGAACGAAGAATGATTTCTTATTAGCGAAAGAGGAACAAAAAAGTCAATCACTTCACCTTATAATGCAAACTGTTTCGCTGGAATCTTAATGTCCGAACTGTACAACGAATTCTTTGGATGACGATCATCTTTGTTGCAATGTTATGAAGCGAAGACAATTGGGTTCTGAAATAAGATCGCGGAATAATAGTCTGCGACGGAATGCTATTGAGCGATCTAAATAGAGTCCTAAATAGAGACTAAAGAACCAAGGTAGCGAGATTAGCGAGTGAAAGAGAAAATTAAACATTTTCTTAATTAATTATTAAAATAATAGATTGAATTTATTAATAAGTTAATCTAGACCGCTATATGAATAAATCTTGTCTTTTATTATTATCCATTATAAAATTCCCAGAATTCTATCGACCGAACGTGTCTACAGACGTTGCATCCGGTGCATCGTGCAAGGTGCTTCTTACACCGCGACGATGGGAATCAAGGAGCGGAAGATGTAGGCAATAAGATATAACGCCGAGGCGGAAAAGGAGGACTAGATTGCAGGAAAAGGATGGAACAAGATCGGGAATGTCAAGTTGACCATCTCGATGACCATAATAAAAAGATCGCGCAAGCATTTTGCGTTTTTCCGTTCTTCTTTGCTATTAATTACGTTACTCTCTCTCTCTCTCTCTCTCTCTCTCTCTCTCCCTTCCCCTCCCCCTTCTCTTTCTCTTTCTCTCTGTCTGGCTTTGTTTGACGTGGTCCAATTATTTTAAAGGTGATATGGCAATTGAAATTTCGTTAAATTATTAATTAATTAAAAAAAAAATTCTAAATATTTTCTTTATTGAACAAACTCTTATTTTGTCTTACTATTTATAAAGATTCAACATACACACAGTTATTTATGAATCAATTAAAATTTAAAATTCCAAGCTATTTTAAAAATTAATCAAAATATAAAGGAAAAAAAGTTTTATTATTTTTTTCGAGAGTTATATTATTCTCTCTTGATTATTATTTTATTTTTTTAAATTTATTCTCATATCTCTTGAAAGACAAACTGTTTTTATTTATTTATTGTTGATATGTATATTCTTAGAATACGATATTCCGGTCCTTTACACATATCGAAATGAAAATTAATTTTCATTACTTTTACAAGTGTATATGAAGAATATTAAATGATTCTTTAAAGTGAATAGATAAGAATCGTCGAAACTTAAACATGTTAAAATTTAAACATATTAAAAAATACGTATAAAATTGTATAGAGCTGAAGCAATAAACTATTATAAAAATGAGACTCATGTATTCAGGGTTAAAAAAGGAATGTGCGTGTATAAAAAGGAATTGAATTTTTAAAATATATGAGCATGTTTAGAATTTCTCGAAGGCTATCTTCCAATGCATGAGAATATAATATAAAATGGATCTAGTCATCGTCGTCGATAGGTCGCGTAGGAGGTCATGAATGGAAACTTGTTAAATAAATCCTAGCGCTGTCACATGCTTCCCATTAAATCTCTCGGCAATCAGATATGAATTTATCGAAATTGACGTGCGGCGAAAACATGTGAATGAATTATATTTATCGAAGAAAATAATCTCCTCCTTATTCCTCCGTACAACTGAAAAAGATTATATGACTTTTTTATCTTACTTTAACATTAATAACAGACGAGAGAGTACAAGTTGCATTATGCTTAAATATAGTTAGAACAAAATGCATTTTTTCCATATGTACATTCTATATATACATTAATGTAACGTGTGAGTTCGAAAAATCGCAGACACCTTGATGGACGCACCCGTGCTCGCGGCGACTGCATTCTGCGCCGGTGGCGGTCACGAGGGCGCGAACTAGTTCGTGAATCATGCTTAGAATGCTTTACATAAATTGCTCGAGGCCGACGTCACGATCGGAGAACCCTAAGCGAGCAAGAGTGAGAGGGAGAGAGAGAGAGAGAGAGAGAAGGGGGGAAGTAAAAGAGAGAGAAAGAGAAGGAGAAAACTAAAAAGAAGTTCATCGGCCAGGAAGGCAGACGTGACTCAACCCATCGTACGCATACGCGAGACGCGGATAACAGAGACCTCGGAAACCCCGGAAAGGAGAAAGTATGTTCCGCGACTCATCCGCGAATTTCCAAGCGAGCGGACAATCGCGGTCGTTTTACTTGGAAATTTGCCTTTCTAGGTCGACTTCAATTATCACGTGTACCGTAAGATCCAGCAATTCGGAGATCGCCGCGGTTAATCCGCATTGTGTGGAATGCTGGTTCCGCGTACAATGAGAAACAATGGTACACAGAGTGTATCCAACCGCTTCGAGAAATCAATGAAAACTAATGGTGACAGGTAATGTTATCGGTTCCCGCGTATAACAAGCATGCGATTTGACAAACGGATCCTTCAGCTTATACTAATAATTTAGTGTCCTCTTATTAGCGAACACAAATGTCAATACAGAGTGAAATGGACGGAACGCAACTTTCACGTACTTCACTTTCTAAATCACTTTCCTTGAAAATCAATTAATTACCAGGCACAACTACGCACCTGTTACGTACCTCATCATACCTGATTATTAAGTGATCTGTATATGATATATAGAAATATGTATTGTTGGTAAAAAAGTAATTAATGCCATTTTGAGAAGCATAATGCTTGATTTTATTCTGGTAGGATATAAGATTTCTTGATTTTGCAATTTACAATTATAGACAAGTACGGTATCAAGACATAGCCACAGCGCAAATTAATTAAATATTTATTAGATTTTAAATACATTTTATATATTTAACCCTGCTGATTCATTCAAATTTACTATTAATTATATCATTTAAATCAATATGATTAAAAAGTTTTAAAAAATAAAACATAAAAAATGTTTGAAAAAAAGGATTTTACATTAACAGACAAAGTCATTAAATATTAGAGAAAAAGTTTTTAAATAAATTATTAATAAGAAAATTAATTAATACATTTTAAATCAAATAGATCCAAACAGATCAACAGGGATAAATGTTTGTTGAATTAATTGATCTGAATGTAAATTTATCCAGAAATGACTGTAGATTTCTTTATTGCGGAGAAAATCTTTCTCGAGGCGGTTTGAATACAAACGTATTTATACGTACACGTGCTTAGAATTATTACATTATTTGTATTGATGATAACATTCTTCAGACGCGATTGACATGCCAAATAATTACATTTCTAGTAATTCCTAGTGGTTTTCTTGAACTTTTAAGATACGTAGATTTAACACATCCTTCAAATATACATAAATTTCTTGCGTATACTATCATATTACATTCTGATCATTTATAATCGCTGTTGCATTAGTGGCTGACGCTTCGAGCGCTCCTGTCGTCTGTAACACTCAACGCCGGTGATTTCTGAAAATATATTAAGAAATAATATTTTCCTTTTCCCTTGGTTAGTAATATTGATAATAATCTTAAATTATCTACTTAATCTTATAATTTGATTGAATTATTACGGATTAAATACTTGAAGTTGTTTACTCACAGACAGATTACATCATCTGTTCTAATTAATTTAAAATAAGATAAAAATGTAATTTTTATAGGATCAAATAACATAATTATATCGGGATGACAATGATTAATTGGCAATGCTACCAACAATTTCATTAAAATGTTTCCGTAAACATATTTAAAATCGCTTAAGAAATATATTTTGGTTGTCAATTAATTTTACAATTAATTATCATCACCTCCATTCTGCCTAGGCGATTTATATTGACAGCCGTGAAAAATTACAAAGAGAGGCTTACAACTCTTTCGATTATATCTTCCGCCGCATTGACTTTAGCGGGTCTGACGGGGATACCCCTTTTCGGTTCTCGCTCCATTTTATGAATCATCTTATAAACACTCGAATTCATCAGGTAATCATAATTTGGTAAATTCGTCTTCTCATACTTCTTGAAGTTCACTCTGTACAATCGATTAATTTAATACCTTTTAAAACAGTCGCAACATCTTTCTTGAGATTTCTTTCCATCCTGCAGTACAATTTTGATTCGTTTTGAAATTGTTTTGAATAAAATTGTACTTACCCCATTGCTTTACCACGAATAACTTCCGCCTGACAGGTCAACACTTCCGCTATCATCTCATCGTTGAAGAAATCATTCGGGCATCTCCATCGGCGACCTTGCGTAAGTTCGAGTTGCTTAGCCTGCGGCCACAGTTCTTGCGAATGCTTTTTGCCTTTCTTGTGCACCCTTTGCTGAAAATTAAAACATAACAAATTAATGGTTTTGCTCGAATTTGAATGTTCACCATGCATCAATCGCGTAAAAGGAAACAAAATTACGAAATTCACATGTACAAACTATTTTAATATCAATATAGAAATCTATTTATGGCAAAGAGGTGATGCAGGAACGATAAATTCACAAAATAGGAATATCAACCGTAAAAATGATACATATTTTAATTCATCGTGCATTTACGCAATTAACTCATTAAGGATTTTAAAACAGGGTGAACTTTCATCAATATTTAACGAGTTTGTAATTTTTTAGCACGAATAATATAAAGAGGAATCATTTCATCCTAAGACACAGATCATTTTATTCATCGGATACCTGGAGTTCCTGTATAACTTGGTCTTTTGGTGACAGTTTAGGATCTGGTTCGAAACTTCCTATAA